ATTAATTAATTATATTTTAATTTAATTAATTATAAGACTAATATCTCAGGATTAAGATATCTTAAAAAAAGAAAATAATTATTATAATTAGAAATAAAGATTAATAATTTAGTTTAATAAAAGTAGATAAGAGTTAACTTATAAATAAATATATAATTAATATCTAATTAAAGAGATCCTGTTATATATAATAGTCAGGAGAATTATTATTTAAGAGAAATAAGTAATTTTTTTTAAATATTAATATATCTACTCTTCTACTTATATTTCTCCTATCTTGTAAAGATATCTATTAATAAGTAGGGGATTAGCTGCCTAAATAATATCTATCCCAACCCCCATATTAATCAGCACGCCGCCGCTTACAATAAATTAATTCTAATTTATCTTATATTATATTATAGAGTAGATTTAGATTAAATTCTTTAATCTAGAAATCTAGCAGATCAGGATCAGGATCAAAAAGTTAGATCCGGATCCGCCCCATTTCAAGGTCTGTCTAGCTAGGACAGGATAACAAAGAGAACTGCTAACACTACTACAGCTACTACCAAGTATAAATTCAACCTCCAAGATAATAAAATATGATATTTGCTGGATATTCTTGTTTTCATTAGTATAGGCAAGCTAGGACAGGATGATAAGACTTACTACTACTGATACCTACTGATCTGCAAGTGGTCATGCCTAGACATTTATTTTATGAGAGCCCCACGAAAATAATTGAGTGTCGTGTATCAGGGACGTATGTATGCACCCCAAGCATAATTTGTATTTCCTCATTCCACCCTCACAAGGAAGTATAAATAAGCGAACTTCTTCATCTCTTGTATGTCCTCGACCGCCACGACTTTCTCGTCATTGAACATTACCCAAGTAGGCTGATCCTGCCCAGGGAGGGTTTTACGCACAAAAGCAACATAATGCCTGTTTTACATTAGCCGAACGTTACGGGTTAGAGAAACACATATGGGGAACGCATACCCAGCGTGCACAGAAGAGCCTTTGTGACAAATAATTGACCGGAGTTGATATCTTGCCGGAGTAGTAGAGAAGCCTTTGAGGGGCCTGTGACTGTTGTGCTGATGTGCATCAGATTCATGATTCGCAGATCCAACCTCAGTCATTTCTTCCGGATGGCTGAACACCCAGTCAATTGCTCTATTGATATCGCCGCTTGTAGCAGCTAACGCTTTCTTAGCATGTTGCTCATTAATGCCCATTTCACCCAATTGTGAGACTTTTGCTGAGTCTTGCTGCAGCTCTTCACCACATTCCCCGGCACTTTCGGTCGCAGGTGGATCATCAATGCCAGCGTCGTCCATATGAGCAAAAATCCAATTCATTGCAGCTTCGAGGTCCGAGTTTCCAGTGGCTTGAAGTGCCTTCACGCATCTTGGTTGCGGAAATCCCATGGTGAGAAGCTGACACAGGACTTCCTCGTTAGGAGCGAAAACCGATTCAGTGTTCTCCACATCTGGGAGTAACTCTTCGTCTTCCTTCTGGCCGGAGGAAATATAACCACCTAGATCCAACGGTTCGTCCCCAATTTCCACAGGAATATCTAACTTCGTAGGCACCCAGTTGATCAACTCAAAGCGCCTCGCATTGACAACTAGATTCCGAGGCAATGTCTTGAATGACGAACGCTTGGAGAATCCCGACTTGCTAGAGCATGAGGGACAGCTGAGTTCAACCACTTCATCGGCAGTGGAGGCATCTAAACAATCATTGAAGGTCACAGGCTGGAACTGATCGTTTGTTTCGGGACCACTTTCTGTAGAGAAGCGGCGCACAGGAACAGGGATGGAAAGGTTGTCCTGCTCATCGACTCTATATCGAACTTTGCTGCAATTCAAGCACTGGAGTCGCTGTTCGACGGCGAAAGTGAAGGATTCAACAGGGTTGTCCAGTCCTTCAAGGGACCTGCTATGGTTTACCAGCTTGAAGAGGTGCAGAAGAAATTCGAATGCATCTTGCTGTCTCATTGTGGAAAATTCCTCATGCCCACGACCAACGAGATGCTTGAACATCGATGGAACCAAGCCTTTTTGATTGGGAGTCTCTGAAGAGTCCGCAGTGGCATTGGCATCTGGATCGGGTCGAGAATAACGACCGGAAAGGATGCCATCTGCGAGTTTTCGCAATTGGCTCTCCAGATCTTCCGCCGGATGTTGAGAAAAAGGCGGCTCCTGGGTGGGATGGTAATACCTGTTCTGAAATTGGGGAAGATCAAATAGACACTGAATCACGCTTGAAAGGTAACAGCTGTTTCCCAGGTTCCTGAGACCCGTCAAACCAGGGCCAAAAATCGGGGTGAGCTCTTGCCCATCTTCAGACGTCATTGTAAACTGCCATTTCATATTTTGTTCAATTTGCATTTCCGTCAGGCTTTTTTCTGTTTTCTCGCGGCCTGCCAGATTAATGCCCCAATGAGCAAGATGGTCAGCGAGGTTAGGGTCGACTCTCTCTTCATTGCATTTATAGCAGAAGACATCAGCGGTGCCATCTGCGGTTATGGAGCCAAGCTTGACAGCAACTGCGTGTGAAGTTAATTCGGAATGGGTAAGTGCGTGAGAATTTCCTCCCACACCTCCAAACTGACTGCGCCCGCAGCCAAGATTGCCACACTCCAAACAAAGCCACAGGTTCTCCTTGAGATCACATAACGAGCAACCGTTGAGGTCTAGATATTTCTGTGAGAAGCTGGTTAACCATTGAAAGAACCTGGGGTCGTACCTTTTGACCTGATTTCCCGGGCTTCTTCCTGACCTAAGCATAGTGTGTGCTCACACGGGACAAATTCTTGCTCCCAAGCCTTGACCTCCTCTTTCCTTGAGTACGTGATTGCATTCAGGACACCGTCAACCACAGCCGGAAGTTTGCCACTAGAAACATCGACATTATCCTGACAACATTTGTAACACACAACGCGCGTGTGTGTGTCATAGTGATCATCTTCTGTTTCTGCAACTATTGCAAGTTTGGATATTTTTTGTGGGGGTTCATCCCTCTAGAATAAGATCTGGTTAGTCACTGCGAACATGAGAAGGTATTGACTTTTCCGACGTACTCGGACTGGTTTCCGAGACCTCTTGATGTTGAGAGCCAAAGGATGGCCAAACCGTTGAAAATGAAGAAGGGCATGGTCCCTGTCTCCCGTACAGCCACCATTGAAGCAAGTTAAACAAACGTTGAGCCCGGAATCATCGTCCTAGATTTAGTTAGGTATGAGAGCTTCTCTTCAGCCGGGGTGCCCATACAATAGAATCGAAGCACTGGGTACAATCTTCCCTGTAGACTGCTTGGGATGCAGATGGCTGCTTTAAATCTGCACACAGAGATGATCAGATCGAGGTCGTACTACTCGAGAGAATGGACTATCCTACCATCAGAATTAACATGCAAGCAAGCCATCTTCAGTGAGGCAGCACGTTCTGTATTTGCTGAAGATTCTTGCCAAGGTAGTACTGTATTTAGCTCATATAACATAGACAGCAGACGCGAACTGGGTATATCTGCCCGATAATATTTTTGGTTACTGCTGGCAACTTTGTAATGTCGGCAATGCTGGGAATGGCAATGCGCTAGTCAAAGCAGGATTTAACTTCGTGATGAGACAATAATTGAGGAAGTATGTCGGGTGGGGTGAAACTTAAGGGAACATATACTACGTAAGGTAGTACGGTGCTTACCTACATCATACCAAGATACTGTCGCGGGGCAGGCAGGGCCCAGCACCATCCAACTAGTTCGACCGAGTGTGAAAGGTTTGCCGCTGATAAGACCCTCTTTGGCACATCGATTACTCATCAGATATGACACAACTGCCTACTAGGCAGGCAGTTGCCGCAATCGGGTAGTTATACGCCAAGAACGGCATCAGAGTACGATTATGGAAGTCTTCGAGTGTCAGCCACTAATAGGCAGTAAGTACCTTAGGGGAGGTATTCAAGGAATTTATCTATCTATTGTCAGGCATAGTCAATACTCAAAGATGCTTAACAGTCATCTCGTCAATCTTGTGCATATTCCAACAATAGTATTATTTATACTTGGAGAAAAGTATCGCTGTTGATTTATGAACGTAGAGAAATATCTACACTGTAGTGATTATTGAAGAGAACTCTATGAAATGACTTTTCTATACGTTGTACTTCAACTTCCTTTATGCTTAACTTTTTAAGTTGGGGGATTCGGCTTTGGTTTAGAAGCTCTGTCTATGCCTTAGGTATCAATTTTCATGTCTTGATCGGCCTGTGTACTTCTTCTCAGTCTTCTAGTCTACGGCAAGGCACTGCATATCTTGGTGAGTATCTCGGACTTTGAAACATATTCCAGACCTGCCATAATACACAATGATCCATTTAATTCACTAAAAACCAAGTCCCCACTAGCCCTAAGAGATTATCATAAAGGTGCAACTCAGTAAAATCATTCTGGAATATAGCATGGACAAGCTTGGTTTCCGTGCTAACTACTACCTTGTCAGCGACAGAAAACGTCACATACAAAGAGCAATGCCTTACCTTGAGTAGGTAGAGTTGTCGCGCAATTAATGATGATCCAGTCACAAATCATACCTTCTTGTATCCAGGAATAGTAATTTCCTCCCTGCCTGAATCGTGTGATGTGTTCATCAATCTTGCTGTGTTCTCTTAAAAGTTCGATCGCCCATTTCTTCTCTTGTATCAAGAAATCTACCCTGCCGTCGCGATTTCTAGACCATTCAGAGGACATTGGCACACGTCGACCAACTAGTTCAGCGAAAGCCCGGTAAAATTCATCCTGGTACTGGGATTCTATTGGTCTGTATGTTGCCCCAGTTGATAATTTTCTGCCCTCTGAAGAACATCTCAGGGCGATTGTCGAAAATCGACGTAAGACATCGAGACACAACCCATATACCGTATCGAACCGCCCAGGCAAGGGTTGCGGATCAAAGCCGATCAAATATTCCACCCATCTAACTTTGATTAGAATAAGTCAAAGATGGGAGATAGACGGAGAAATTAAAAGATGACTTGCTTCTCATGTAACCTGGATGGCAAAACAAAAATTTCTGGAACCATCATATTACCGGTAGCTACCTTATGGATCCAACCTTTTGTGTAACATTGCAGTGTTCCTGAGTTCGAATTCCACGGCAGGTCGCCGTTTTTCAAGACGGTCAGAAGAACGTCGGCACATTCCCGTGTTAACTCGATGCCCTGGGGGAATGAGCGGTAAACAGGGGTGTACGCAAGAAGTCTGAAAACTTTGTCCTCTGATTTCAAGCCATCGATAAGATGCGACTTGGTTATTGGAGTTATTTTTTCATGCTTGACATTAGAGCGGTAAACCTAAGTAAAAGATAATTAAACCAGCTGGTCTAGAAAGAATGGACTTGCTTTAAGCCAGGACCTGAATAACTGACGTGAAAGAAATATTCCATCATAGACTCTAATGCACCGGGGTGCCCGTTTGTGAAAGAGAAAAGATACTCGATGGCATCTGTTTGAAGTATGATTGGCGGTATTTTTTTGGAGCCTATTCTAGATGTGGCATCGTAGAATTCCGTCTTCGAAAAAAACAGACCGAAATCAGGCGCCGCGGCGTTCGTCTGGGGGGTCAGTGTAACCCGTTGCTCGGGGTTGAGGATAGCAGGTGTAAATTCACAAGTGGTGGTCTCCACCCCGGTGGAAGGACTCCCATAAGAGCAGAAAAGACAGAACATGATCTCTTCCCCTTTACCATAGCATCGACTTTTGAGGATTTCATTCCACAATATGGCATCATTGTAGGATGTCTGACCTTCATCAATGATGAGGACAGCCTGGGAAAGGATATCTTTGTCCACTGAACAAGGGAATTTATTTCGAAGCATGACCTCCAGTTTGTCCCATGGATCCACAGGGCTTTGGTGGGATGTATCAAGATCGCGCCATGTCCCCATGAAATACACATCCCGTCCTTGACTCAAAAGGTGATCTCTGAGTAACTGTGCTAGGGTTGTCTTGCCACTTGCTGGTGTTCCACGGACATGAACAACCTTTCTAGACAGGATAAGATCAGCGAGTTGCTGAACTGTCCTCTCGCGAGGACATATTGAGAGGTCATCTGTGACTATTTACCCCGACATTGTAAGCTAAGAAAGGATAATAGTCAAAATAAGACCAAACCTTTGCGTGACTTGAGAGGACGTGGCATAATTTTATCAGGACTGGTAGTCTGGTCGCCGCACACAGTTTCTGCATCCGTGTGCTTTGATAGGGGATGATCACAAGTCACGCAGTTGTCACTCCAACGATCTTTAGTTTCCAAAATGAAAAGGCCCTGGCTGCAGGCACAAGAGGATTGATGGCCATTTTGTATGATTATAACTTGACAGGGTCCAGAAACCATGACGCGTGGATAGGATGTGTTTTCCAACTTTTTGAAATGGTGTGCATACTTGGGATGAGTGTTAGAATGGTGGTAATCTGACATGATAACTCCCTCATCATTGAAGCGAACAGTGAGAAAATCGAACATGTATCTTTTGGGAAACTACTAGCCTGACATGAAGCGCAAAAAGCTAAAAGCCCGGCTTATAAAGGCTTTGCGAAATCATAGCAAAGATCCAGCCAATACTTACTCGCCGTAGTAATCAATCTGGTGATTATTGACCAATGATCATTGATCAATCATATGATCAATTACTTCACTCTACTTTTAGCTTTTAGGTTAACAATGACAGAATCAGCCAACCAGACAACGCCACCCCAGCCCTGTATTGCACCAAATGGTCCATATAGCTATCTAGATAGACAGCTAGAAAACTTGCTGCTGAGAAGGTTGTAGTAATAGAGTCTTCATTATCCTGTGATGCCTGTAGTAGTATTGCAGTAGTAGTGTTAATACATAGGGGGTCAAACTTATTAGTATCTAAGTTCATGAAGCCATGAGTAGTAAGATAAATGAAGTAAGTGAAATACACGTGATCAAGCGGGACGCGTTTTGCATGGAAATTAGTGGGTGGGACTATCAGTGTAGCAACGCGTCCTGGGCCACCCACGGTCACCGTGCTCGGAACTACTTAACTTATCGTTATTCACCACCTAACTGTCTATTATCCAGTAGCACTTTCCGTCCTATAGATTTTGTGTATCTCTTGTCGCCCCCCACTTCATTACTCTCACAGGAAGAATTTAAGTTTCTCTGAGTTGTTCTATGGAAGAATGACGTCCGAAGCAAGTTCTCATATTAGCGTTGGCGCTCTTAGGTGAGCAAACTCTACCGAATTCAACGAACTTAGCTCACAATATCAAAGCGCTATCTTTGATGAATCGAAATCCCAAGTTCGCGAGCCAATTGTACAGTGTGTCCAAGTCAAGCCACTGCCTCCTCAACAAAATAACCAAGAGCGTTATCGAGCTGTCTTCAGTGACATTTCAAACTATGTCCAAACCATGCTTGCAACTCGTGAGTTATATATATACTTGGACCGGTTGGGATGTCGTGTTAAGTACAATATCAGAAGCGAATTCCTTCGTTACGAGCGGTCAACTTAGGAAAGGGTGTTTTGTGAAACTGAAGTCCTTCCAGGCGAATTCAGTGAAAGGCAAAAAGTCTGTTCCTTGGTATCATATTTGGAGCCTCGTTAACGTTTATGTAGGATTCTGATTGTTCTGGATCTTGAAGTGCTGCAGGAACTGGGCGAGGCAGAAAAGATTGGCGAGCCCAAGCCGTTAGAAAACAAATCGGAAGAGGAGGAGAAAGTACAACCTACAGCCATATCCAGCAATGGGTTTTATGGCTCGAAGATGCCACAGACACACCCGAGCAGTCGAGTACAAGCACGGCCTGGTGCAGCTTCAACGCACGCTACTATGTATCCCATCGAAGCCATCTCTCCATACTCCCACAAATGGACGATCAAAGCACGATGTACAAGCAAATCGAACATCAAAACGTGGCATAACAGAAATGGCGAAGGAAAGCTTTTCAGCGTCAATTTGCTGGACGATAGTGGCGAGATACGTGCGACAGGGTTTAACGACCAGTGCGAGATGCTTTATGACGTTTTCCAAGAAGGAAGTGTCTATTACATATCTAGTCCGTGCCGAGTCCAAATTGCGAAAAAGCAGTTTACAAATTTGAATAATGACTACGAACTTACGTTCGAGAGAGATACAGTTGTTGAAAAGGTTGGCATGAACACCCCCGACCTTCCACTAATCAATGCACAATTTTGACAAGTAACAGGCAGAAGACCAAAGCGATGTACCGCAAGTTAGATTCAACTTTACCTCCATAGGTGATCTTCAATCTGTTGAGAAGGAAACCACCATTGATGTCATAGGGATCTTGAAAGAGGCTGGGGAGTCTTCCCAGATCGTCTCGAAAACGACGAGCAAGCCTTACAACAAGCGTGAACTTACGCTGGTTGACAACACAGGGTATTCGGTTCGCCTGACAATATGGGGCGCTACCGCGGTGGACTTTACCGTGGTGCCAGAGTCCATCGTGGCTTTCAAGGGAGTCAAAGTATCGGATTTTGGAGGTCGGAGCCTGAGCTTATTGAGCTCTGGGTCCATGACTGTGGATCCCGACATTGAGGAAGCACATAAACTCAAGGGCTGGTATGATGCCCAGGGAAGAGATGAAAACTTCATTTCGCACGCATCTGTCTCGGGAGCAACCACATCCAAGTCGAGACTTGATCAGTTCAAGACCGTTGCCCAGGTTAGGGAAGAGCAGCTCGGGATGTCAGATGACGCCGTGTACTTCTCATTGAAGGCAACTGTCATCTACATAAAGCGGGAAAACATATGCTACCCTGCTTGTCTTACAGATGGATGTAACAAAAAGGTTACGGAAATAGATGGTCAATGGCGATGTGAACGCTGTGACAAGACTCACCCAAGGCCCCAGTATCGTTACATGATGCTCATCAATGCTAGCGATCATACCGGTCAACTTTGGTTAAGTTGTTTTGATGAAGTTGGCAGGTTGATGATGGGCATCTCGGCAGACCAACTAATGGAGTTGCATGATAACGATGATAATGCCGAAAGTGCTATCGTCCAAGATGCGAATTGCCGGACTTGGAATTTCAGATGCAGGGCTAGAATAGACAATTTTGGTGACCAGCAACGGTGAGCTCCAATACTTTTTCTGAAAGAATTATGTTTTGCTGATGATTTTAGTATCCGTTATCAAATCTCCTCAGCCAACCCTATCGACTACTCTGAAGAGGCAGGACGGATCTCTGATCTGATTGATTCATACAACATCTCTTGAACATGACGACCTTGTGCCTGGTGTCTGTGTTGCTGCCTACTCTTCTTTGCTTAAATGTGTTTAAATGTGTTCTCCCCCCCATCGCTATAGGGAATTATGGGCTTTTCGCGGTGGCTTACTGATTGGGAATGCCTTGTTTTTAATGGAACAATCCGGGGTTCAACCTGTCATTCAGGCCTTGTGTATCTGCTTGCTACATGTCATTGATGTTATTTCCATTGCTTTGACAGTTAGGTATGAAAACCTGATGTAGACAATTTCAATAGGCGTCGTGCAGCTCATGTCGGATTGTAGATTCAAATGAAAACTCTAGGCTAACTAGCCATAAGTGTTCTTAGTGGTAGTGTTTTTTTATGAACCGAGGGTCAATTGAGGAAATCGAAAAGCAATTTATGTCTAATCACTTTGCCGGCAAGCTATATGGTAAGCAAAGGCTTATTTCCGTGTCACATGACCAGGGCCGATGACGCTTGACAGATGGATGCGGGGCCACCGGGGAGCCATTTGGACATTATAAATCATCTTCAGTAGAATACACAAATACCTCTCATTTTCACATAGCCTTGAATTCACGAGTTAATCTGGAGTATTTTTCTCCAATTCAACATCCGCAAAGATGATGAAAGCTATAAGTAAGCTTACTTCCTTATCATTATCCTCAGCAGCGTTGACTTTCTCTAGGTGTGAGGGGTAACACCGGAAACGCTGATGCTCTGTTTGTCAACAGCATCCCCATTCCAGTGATAGGAGATGGGCAGGCCTTGGTGAAAGTAAAAGCCTTCGGACTGAACCGTATGGATTTGTTACAACGGGAGGGTAAATATCCAGTGCCACCCCAAGCCCCAACCACCATGGGGGTCGAGTTTTCTGGCGTAATCGAAAAGCTGGGTCAACACCCAGAAGAAAGCTTTAGGGCTGGGAATGAGGTTTTTGGTTTGGCTTATGGTGGTATGTTAGAATCGGAAACCAAGGTATAAGGCTCTAAGCGATTAATGGTACTCATAGGGGCCTATGCTGAGTACATTGCTGTGTCGACCCACATGTTGATACATAAACCGCGCGAGTTGACTTGGGAGGAGGCAGCGGGCATACCTGAGGTAAGTTATCCTCAGGGTGTTGTTTGAATTTTAACGTTGACGCCTTTCTTTCGTTGTATCTAGGCTTGGATAACCGCTACTCAAGCCTTAGATCTGATTGGGAACTTCGGACCCGGGAAGTCGGTGCTCTGGCATGCAGGGGCTTCCTCGGTCTCTATAGCTGGCATCCAACTTTCTAAGATTGACAATGCTTCTGCCATATACGTGACAGTGGGCTCACAAGAAAAGATCGATTTCTGTGTGCACCAGTTAGGTGCTACTGCCGGGTTCAATTATAAGACTGAGGACTGGGCATCTGCCATCCTGGCACAGACGAATGGTCGAGGTGTTGATGTCATTATTGACTTTGTGGGTGCAGCGCATTTCCAAGGCAATTTGGACGTAGCTGCAAAGGATGGGCGCATTGTTCAGTTGGGCCAGATGAGTGGTTCAAAACTCCCTGAGGGTATTGATATTAGTGGAATCCTGAGAAAGAGACTGCGACTTGAAGGCAGTACACTTCGAAGCCGCGAAGAAGACTACCAAAGAACCTTACGTGATCTGTTGGTTGATCACGCGCTGCCAAAATTCAAAACCAGAGCTTTCAAGGTTTTGATTGAGAAGATCTACCCCTTCGAGCAGATCATTGAAGCCCATAAATTGCTTGAGAGCAACGCCACTAAGGGAAAGATCATCTGCACTGTTGGATAGAATACGCGCACGGGGCAGATGAGACGAGTCGACTGGCTTTTAGGTCATGACAAGCCACCGGTCATTGCAGTTGATGCCACTGTCTCCTGTGGGAAGTGGGTCACGTCCATTCACGAGGTTGTCAATATAATCTCATCGCGTATTTGTCAATGAGCTTAAGCCTAGCTAGAGACTAGCTATATCCATCATGGAAGCCAATCCAGATATCCGTTGAAATAACGGTGTGATGGCTTGATTAAGATGGGTGTTATCTCACACTTGTGCTCGGCCCACGGGCTTCAAGTTCAAAAGTCTTGATTACTCCCCAGAAGTTTTCGCCATCCAGGTCTCCCGTTTCATTGTCAAGCAATGACATTGGTCGGCTGGAAGTCCATCCCGGCTGGGGATAGTGGAGCCATCGACTATATAGGCAAGCGGTGGCAGTCTACGGAATTTAGCGCGGTTGCAAAAAAAAAAAAAAAAAAAAAAAAAAAAGGAACAACAGCAAAATAGAACTGTGACACCGGCAGACTCAATTATATTTCTCCAATTTTGATTCTTTCATTACTTTGGCAACGGCAAGTTAAGGCTCGTCATGGCTAAACGTGATTACAAAGACGAGGGTGTCTCCGAGACTAGACCAAAGAAAAAGTCGAAGTCCAAGGTGGAGAAGCGTGACAAGGAGGAAGATGTGAAAAAGCCGAAAGCCTCAAAATCTTATAGCCAATCTGTTGCTCTTAGCAGTCTTCCTCAGTCGGAAATCGATAAATTCCTCTCGGACAACACGATCAAGACGGTCGATCCATTGTCGCAAACCCCGGATCTTCGCCCGATACTCTCATTTTCCCACCTGCCATCATGCACCGGCGATCTGTATCAGCCTTTGGAATCCTTCAAGGCGCCAACGCCTATTCAATCGGCAACTTGGCCATTCCTATTCTCCGGCCGTGATATCATTGGGATTGCAGAAACTGGAAGTGGTAAGACGCTTGCTTTTGGTTTGCCATGCATGAAGATGATATTGGATTCGGCGGAGAAGAAAAAGCAGAAGCCTTATCGACCAACGGCAGTCGTGATCTCGCCGACACGGGAGCTTGCGATGCAGATTCACGACCAACTTTTAAAGTATGCAGGCTCTGGATCCATTGACATGGCGTGCATCTTTGGTGGGGTGAGGAAAGACGAGCAACGGGCAGCTCTCAAGACCGCATCTGTTGTCGTTGCCACGCCTGGCAGATTGAAAGATCTCCAGAGCGACGGCTCATTGGACCTTGGGAAGGTCAAATACCTTGTTCTGGATGAAGCAGATCGTATGCTGGACAAAGGGTTTGAAAAGGACATAAAAGAGATCATTCAGTCAATGCCTGCGTCCAAGCGTCAAACCGTGATGTTCACTGCTACCTGGCCTCCTGCTGTGACAGCTCTTGCTGCGAATTTTATGACCTCACCTGTGACCGTGACTATCGGCGGGGACCCGTCTGCTGATCCTCGGGCTAACACAAGAATCAAACAAGTTGTGGAAGTGGTTCAACCTCACGAGAAGGAAAACAGACTTGTGCAGCTGCTCAATAAGTCTCAGCGGACGGGCTCAAACCCCGATAAAGTCCTGGCTTTCTGTCTATACAAAAAGGAAGCCATGCGTGTTGAAAGGCTTCTACGGGCTAAAGGCTTTCGCGTGGCCGGAATCCACGGCGACTTGAGCCAACAAGAGAGATTCAAGAGCCTGGACGCTTTCAAGTCAGGTGCTGCTACAGTACTTGTTGCGACAGATGTGGCAGCTCGCGGTCTAGACATACCTTCGGTCAAACAGGTCATCAACGTCACGTTTCCCCTTACAGTCGAAGATTATGTACATCGGATTGGACGGTTAGTAGCCATTCCACCCATGTAATTCATTCCAGCTGACATTTTGCGCCCCTCCGTTTTAGAACTGGTCGTGCTGGAGCTGAAGGTTATGCCATCACCCTTTTCACAGAACTTGACAAAGCCCAGTCTGGATCGTAAGTCTTATTTCTCATCCTGCTACGTCTAGTTGAAACGGAGCACTTGGCTGACACATATCAGGTTGATCAACGTCCTCAAGCAAGCAAAACAGGAGGTTCCAGAAGAGCTCCTCAAATTCGGCACAACTGTGAAAAAGAAGCAACACGACTCATATGGTGCATTCTTCAAGAATGTTGATACCGACAAAACAGCGACGAAGATCACTTTTGATGATTGAGCTGTTGTTTCATGTCGATTTTTGCTTCAAAAGCTTGGTTTTGAACATCGGATAAAGTTTTTCGCACTTTGTTATAAGGAATTCTCTCTCAAGATACATTCTAGAAATAATTCATTAGAAATCGATCGCCGCCTGTGAGAGTTGACTTACATCAAAAGAGCGTACGCAGTTGCAACTGCACCGGATTTCAGAATTTCACGTATGCCAAAGCCGAAGGCACCATGCCATGCTAGCCCTAGGGACATTCCGATTCCCACAACATACGTATAAGGCCGGAGACCAAATTCTGCCCAAGGCATTCTAATACCATGTCGAAGCATGTACGATCGAATAAAGTGTATCCCCCAGAGGATGCGAACGGCCATATTGACAATGTTGGCGTATACCAAACCATGGGCACCGAGGTGTGCTATTCTCAAAAAGAAGTAAGCCGCCAAGGCGAAACACGCAGAGAACACCCCCATCCAACCTGTCTGGGTTCGAAGTTCTGAAGGGGTTGCTGCGCCAGAGACAAATGCCTCAATTATGCCATTGAATGCCAAAAATGGTATGTAGTAGCAGTACAGTGAAACCAAGCTAGTGACCATAGGAGAGCCCCATCGATGCCCGCCCAATGCATTAAGCATTTGTGGTACCAAGTGTGGTCCCAATGGCAAGACAATGGCGGACATCATTCCATACCCACGCAGGATATCGACTAGGTGTGCCTTTGCTGCATTGATGGCCTTCGTGCTTGCACTATTCTCACTTGAATTAAGCAATGACGAGAACAGAATGCGGCTGCTTTCCTCAATAGGCTGGAATAATAAGCGAGCGACAAGCCCGCCATAGTTGCAGGCTAAAGAATATATCCCCTGGTCTTCCAAGCTTGTCATTGCTGCTAGTATAATTGCATCACCTTGCGTGAGGATGTGCTTGATGATAGACTGGAAGAAAGAGTTTGCAGACAATGAAAGTAACCGACAAGAGAACGTGTCCGCGACGTAGCGCGACTGATCTCTGACCTTTGTTATTAACCAGGAATTCCCCCAATTGTCAATGTGACATACCTAGATTTTAGTCGAGAAAGAAGTAACGAGAAGCGCCATTGTTTTCTTACGTCTCGCGTGACTTGAATGTACCCGACGACAAGTGTGCAGGAATAACATAAGTGACCCAAAGCAAATGGTAGAATGCCGATAGTATATCCGGTCCAGGAGGCCCAAGCAAAACAGCCGCACACTACCAAGCTCTTCACAAGCGCTGCAGTCATTTCAACAGCTGCGCGCTTCTTGTAGAGCATGTGTTGTTGTACCACAGCGAAAATGGGCTCGACGCTGAGTTCCAGCAGCGATGAGACAGCAGTAATAGCAACACTCATGCGGTAGAAAGGAGTCTGAGACACCTCTTCTGCGGCGAAGCGCACATAGAAACCAGCAAACGTCAAAGCCAAAGGGATCCCTAGCCCCAGGCTAAGATAAGACATGTTCACCACGGTCTGAGATGATAAAGCTGACTGACGCGCAGCGTCAATACTCGATGGCGCTTTTGTCGCATCATCCTGCTTTTTCTTGCCGCCGTGGGCATCAAAGTAAAGCCCCAATGGTTGTTTCTGGATTGCGACCCGGATACTCTCCCTAGAGAAGTATAGTATTGAAATAAGATAGAGTTCAAGTTGTGTCGCAACTCCCAAGATGGCCGGTGATAAGGTGTGCAAAACAAGCTGGTTTGCAACAAAAGTGAAAAGCCTGGAGAATACTTGAATAGCGATCAAAAAAGAGGTCCCAGACACTGAAGATGTTAGTAGTTTACTCAGATTGTTTTCCTCAGACGGTGCCATGTTGACATGAATCGGCTCTAGCTAGGCCGCGGGGAGTCTCTGTTGGTATTGTTTCGTGTTTGCTGTATTTGATCATTGCCGCTCAGTGTGAGCTCCTCAAGAGATTTGTTTGTTTACGACTGCTTCCCAAAGCCCCACGAGGCTTTTCTGACCCAAAAAGAACAAGCGCAGCAGGATGTCAGTCAGAGGGAATGTGAACTGGTGAGGTGGGTAGATTTCCGGAGTAACTCCGCAGAAAGGCCATGGTGGTGCGTGGCCTTATCGAGAGCGTGTCCATTCCCCACAGCACATACTACTAACTGAACTATGCCCAATCTGACTTAGGCCCTAAATCAATACTCTATATCCTCAATAAAGTAAACATACGGAGTAACCTGCGAAGATTTGTGAAGAGCACTATATTCTCCTAGCACCTTCTAAAGGAGGGTGACATTCAAGTGCAACTTTATTGGGACAGGTCAAGTATGTTTTTTCTGTCATTATTAGAAACCAACCAAGCGAAATTCCAAATTGAGACTGTTCATAGAATAGCTTTATTTAACATCCTGATAACAATTGTCAATGTTATTACAAACAATCAATTAAAAAGGTTAAGGTGCAGCGGAATCTCTAAATATATGCTCTTTTACAATGATCTTCGAAGACTCAAATTACATGCAAACTTATCAAATTTGAATAATGGGGATTCGAATCCACTAAACTGTAAATATCAAATACTAAGCATTGATGGACATATACTGCATATATAGTATCTGTTGACAGTAAGCTGCGATAGTCATTTAAGCACAGTCATTTAGAACGCGACCAACTTGAGTGTTCACTGGTTGTGGAAGGGATAGCATGTAACTAAGGGAAGGCTGGTCAAGAAGGCGGCTGCATATCTGGGATGGAACAATCGCGCGGGGTGAACCTGAAGTAGTCAAATCAAATGAACATATAGAAAGTAGTTTGGAGTTTAACCGTGGTACCTTGATATAGAGTACCTAGTAAGGTACCAGATAGGCACCTGGAAGTCAGTAGGTCCGCTGCGTGGGTCTAAGTAAGTTCGATTGAGGAAGTAACGGCTGATTTGCTACATCGTGTCAGATGCTTTTGTTTCTCTTACTCTTGTGGAAGTTTGTTGAGTATTGACTGATGTGGAGATGTTATTTACACCATGTTAATACCTATGTGGTCGCCGCAACAGCTACCCGAGAGTAGTATCTAGAATAAGAAAAAAGTAAAAAAAGAAAAGCCCTGTGCTTGTTGACTAGAAATTTAGAGCTACTAAAATACACGAAGAGTGTTGGAGATGGACCATATGCACATTCAAATGGCTCGGCTTTGGTCGAGCCACCTGAACAGAGAGGTATGTTGCAAGCCACGTATAGCTGGCCAATGCAGGCTTCACCCTTCCATGATCCGTAAAGCCATACATTCTTTCAGCCAGACTATAGGTCCGATCAAAACGGGGGCAGAAAGAAAGGATACCCGGCATTTTTCGCCTTGAATACGCTAAGTAGGAAGCTGTACACACCGAGAAGCACAGTGCCCCAAATTACCACGGCAACTTGCTGTGCCTTTTTATCCGCGGTACGAGGAACCTTCATTGCTAGAGCGATCGTCGCGAAGGAAAGGACGGCGTCTGGTTAAACCTTCTGTTAGTACACGGTTGCACATGCAATGATGGTACAAATTATCATCAAGTAGAGACCGTCAACTTACAAATAGCTGCGACGACCTGTGTTTCCATACCGAATTGGTTTTGGAATCCGCCGGCAAAATAACTAATACCGCCTTTACCATCCCCAACCACGTATGGTACTTTGCGGATATGATTGAACATGTGTCCACTTGTGAAGAGGAGGATAGCGATCAAGCTGACTGCAGCCCAAATGTTCCTGTTCTGAATGATCGGCAGGACATAAGGTGATAGAACCGTAAAGAGCGTTACCACGGCCATCAGGATAGTTACGAAAGAAACGATCCGCATGTAGTTCAAAGGGCGAACAAGAGGTGGCTTCGGACCTTCCGGGAGATGGCGGTTTATCCACGTATAAAGTTGATCGGCGGAGATAGGGCTTGTACGGTATCGTCAGTCCAAGGGCCCATTTTGCAAAACAATTGTATGAGGCTTACCCGCTGAAATCATATCTCAAGGGGCCATCGTCGACCCTAGCAGATGGTCCCACGGTGGGAGGAAATAGAAGGAGGACAGGAGCCGTTTGAAGCATCAACTTTTCCCGGACATATTAGCTGAGCGACAGACCCTCTCTGTAATCAATCAATCACCATACCTTCTGGAATGTATTCCTTCCATCTGTGAAGTCGAGAGTGCCAAATAGCAATTTAGGGTCATCTGATTTCGGGCCCTTATTCCAGCTCTTTGCAATAAGCTCCCATTCTGGCTGGAATTCGCGACACAGGACACAGCCAAATCGAGGGTCTACGGCCGTGAGAATGACCGCGACATGGTAGTCCCGGGGCTTTGATGTCAATTCGTCGTAAGAAGAATCATCCAAGTCGATTGGACCTGAACGTGAGAGAGCCTGATATTTCTCGAATGTATCCGACTTCGGAACTGCGCCCAGCACAGCCGGAATTATAGAAACGAACGGAAGGAGGAAAGAGAGGATATTCATTGTGACAGTGCAGTTTTGGAGCACTCTGCTGCGTAGAGGAAGTATCACTCGCAAGGTGTATCCAGCATCGGTGTTGCAATTGGTGTGGGTACAATAGTGGTTTTCTTATCTTACATACGTACGGCGCATTCTGTAGATACGTACCTACTGCCTCTCTTAACAGTAGCTTGTTTAGGTGTCCACTACTATTAAGAGGTCTGGTGGAATGTTTTCCCCTTCCGACCCCACACCATACCGAGATCGGTAAGTAGCCCGCCCACCGCCTGGACACTGAGGTACGATAACTTGTACGGTAACGCCGTCCGTAACTTTGGTTTTCTAGCCAAGGTGATCTGGTTGCCTCGAAATCGCATTGGCAGTAAGTCGTACGTTTAGTACCTCCTCGTTAAGCATGTCACCACAAATGCTAAATATCCTCCATCTCCCTATTGAAGTAAGTACTGGGCTAGGTTTGAACTTACAGTATAATATATGCCCAAAGAGCATAGAAATAATGTTTATCAATATAATCCCTGGCCTTAAACCTGGATTATAGACGACGGATCTCCAGGCTGACCGCGAAATGTTTTAAGTTACATTAAGTAACAGGACCAGGTCGAATTGTATGATACACCGAGCTCTCAAAGGGAACCCACTTCTAAGTGGAGCTGATAAGATATGTAAAGTACAATTGTGCCGTCATACAATTTCGACCGCAAAGTCCTGGTGGACCTTCATAAGATGTTTACACAGTTGTATCCCGCCTGTGTCACTCGGAGCCAACAAAATATCTTGATTCATACCATTATTCCAAGACGGTTCGCATCTTCAAAAAGATGGCAGGCTCGCCAGCTCAAGGATCGATTCACCAGGGACGCATCGGCACAAGGGTTGAAAAGCCGAGCGGCATTCAAGCTCCTTCAAGTATAACATATGACCACCATGGCCTGTCCCCTCTGAACTCTTATATTTCTAACATCATGGATAGATTGACGAGAAATTCCATATCTTCAAGAGAGGTCAAACCGTCGTCGATCTGGTATGACCTTCAAATTCTTGATTATTTACTGTAGATGACAATCCGTCTCGTTACTTACTTTGACCTCGCGCAGGGGTATGCTCCTGGTTCTTGGTCTCAGGTATGCTTACTGCTTGCGGTGCTTATTTCCCGCTGACCTTGTCCAAGGTTGCAGTATCTCGAACCCAACCTGGCGGCCGAGTCCTTGGTGTAGATATCATCCCAGCGCAACCCCCGAAAGGCGTGTCCGCAATCCAAGGGGATTTTCTTGACCCCAAAGTCCAGGAATATGTTATGGGGTTTGTGCGCGATTCACACAAAGGGCAAACCCAATCAACGGTCTCATCGAATGGCACGATTAGCTCTAAGCACAACGCCGTTCAACCTGGTCTAGAATTGGACAGTCTCGACAGCGATTCAGCTATAACCCAGACGCATCCCGAAACTCAGGACAAGCCAAAGTCCCAATTTACTGTTGATGTGGTATTGAGTGACATGTTAGCACCACCCAAGTCAAACCACTGCAAGATGGGAGAGATGTCTAAGTAGTTTTCATAATAGGATGATGAACACAAGCGGCGTGAAATTCAAGGATCATGCGGGGAGTATGGTAGGTCTTCTATCAATCATTTTCAATAGTCATGATTGCTAAACTTTTCAAAAGGACCTTTGCCGAGCTGCGCTAGAATTCAGCTTTGTGGTCCTGAAGGCTGGCGGCCATTTTATTTGTAAATTCTACCAAGGTGCCGAAGACAGGGCCTTGGAGAAACAGTTGAAGTACCTGTTCGAGAAGGTACATCGACTGAAACCAGAGTCTTCGCGTAGTGTTCGTGCCATCATGTATATTCTCTCCCAAAAATTACCACGTACTGATTTGATGAATAGGAATCGAAAGAGGCATTTTTCATTGGCCTCAAACGCAAGCAATGTGCAACAAAAGATCAAGTGCTCACACCACCATGAAAACAGGGGAGGAACGTGGAATGGAAATCACAGGCACTGGAAGGAGAAGAGAGAACAAGTAAAGCATAATATTATTTGAGGTAGCACGTGGGTGCGTCCTTCTCATCGTCATCAAACACAGCTACATCTGAGCTATGCCTGACACCAGAACCCCATTCATACTACCTACATCGCCTCAGCGAATTCATCTGTATCAGAAGCTTCATCCCATTCAATATCATCGATAGTCGCTTCTGCTGTCGCTTGAACCTGTTCAAAGTGAGCATAGTACTGAGGGATGTGATATGATAATGAAAAGAGTGCAACCTTTGGATATCAAACAGGGAGGGGCTGCTTACTTCTTTGAGACCACTCAATTCTTCCACATACCCGGTCTCGTTCAATGCTCTCTGTATAAACTCCCACCCCTCCTTCTTGTACGCATCAATGATATTATCTGAGCAGGCGCTACAGCACTTGTAACTTCGACCCGCTACCGTGATGTTATCGAAAGTCGATAGGAACCCACGAATCTGGTGCGGCAGAAGTCCTAGCGGGTGGTTTCCATACTCCTCGCTTCGTGAAGCCGGAGCTGGCGCTGCTGCTCCCTGAGGGTGTTGCAGGATTGAAATAAACAACTCGACCAGTAACGCCGAAGCTATGGGGGCCACTCCGGGTCGGGTAACAGTGCACTGCTGGTCGAGTGTTTGGTCTTTCACAGACTTCAAGTATTGAGTTAATCACGAGAAAAATATATTCCAGGATTGGTCATGACTTACATTCATAGGTGCCACAACATCGTTGCAAAAATAGCAGCCAAGTTCTGATGTTGGGTCGGCGCTATTCTTGACACCATGACGCATAACCACATAAGAGTCAAATCCGAGTGCGGCATTCATTACAATCTTGCCGGCGGCCTTCCCCATGACTGTCGGTAACCACCGCGACTCTCTGGTATCCATTAGAACGAAGATAGCATCGTGATTTTCAATCAAATCTTTAAGGATCTCAAAGTCTGCTCGGGTCTTTTCGGCGTCTATCACCGGGTGGCCTGCCATCGGTACGGAGAGCGCATGCCCTGTAGATTCAACCCCAGGGAAAATCTCTGATAAAGCTTGTGCTGCACGGTGTGCCTTTTTGGCACCACCATCTATGCAGTCGGCGAAGTTGAATAACGGTTGCCTTACCGGGTTAGAAAACGACACAGACCCATTATCAACGAATGTTATTCGAGTCACACCCCAGCCCTGAAAGTAACAGTTATTTCGAGTTATAGTGAAGGCAATTGACAAGAAGCTTTACCATTAAATTTCGAGCAACGTAAGACCCTAAGGTCCCTGCGCCTAGTAGAAGGCATCTGGTCTTTTTGATCTTCTCTAGTTCCAAATTGGGGCTGATTCGCCACTTCATGAGCTTGAGATTGAGGTCTACAGACTGGTCCGCTAGCCTTTTCAGTAACCAAACATGTGTGGTCAGTGAACGTTCGTTATATCTGTACGTGAGGCCTTACCGTTTAGGGTCAAGATATTCCGTCAAGTCAATCATTCGCCCTGTTAACTTTCCTTCGGGGTTGCGTTCCCACCCAGTTACTTTGGGCATGGGTTTTGGTGAAGCTTGGGTAGACCTCGATTCGGGCGACGATTTCGATTCCAATGTGATGATAGTGCTACGACATTGATCACGCATCGAATGTATATCGCGATATCGGAGTATTTGAACTCGATCAAGCCCCCAGCGCTGTTTCACGAGGACGAGTAAATTCCTCAGCATCCAGCCGGGTGCATTCGCATAATTCGAAGGATCCACGAAGCATATGAAGCAATCTTCAGGTCTTGCTCCATCGAAGAAACCACTCTCATAGCTCGAGAGGGCGTCAATTCGCCACTGATTGGGGGTCAGTTCTTCTTGGCTTGTCGTCTTTTCACCGATGGTAGCAGAAGAGTCTTCACGGCCATCTAAGCTGGAAATCCTTCGAGCTAAAAAAAAGCCACGTTGGCGTGCGTCGACACCATAGCTCCATGTTTGAACCGCTTCGACGAGTGCAGAATTCTCGGAAGCAGTCAAAGACCCAGTATTGCTGCTTTCACTCCCACCAGGACAAGGTTTGGCAGCCTTACTTGGACTTTCTGAGGCAGTCCAAGAAGGATCCGAATGAAGAGCAGGTGAAGCAAACCAGTAGTAAAACTTGTACTTCTTCAGATCTGCGTACGATAAAATGACGAATGAAGAAAGTAGTGACGGACAAGAGAAGATGCTGCCATCATTTATCGCATCCCAAACCTAAGGGATGTTAGCGATACCGTAGTCAACCATTCTCTGTTTATTGCGACTGACCGTTTCTCCAGATTGCCGGAGCATATGTGCTTTATCGATGTTTCGGTATTCCTCAATAGTATTGACATTCTTAATTAATCCTTCAGCACGATAATAACCCCCTAGGGCACTAAACAAAATGATTAACCGGAGCTTGACGGTTACATGTGGCATGGTGCAATGATCTCCACAATTGATTGCCCCGGGTTGAAGGCCTAGTATATAAACTTACTCGTTGCTTGTGAGCGCATCCCCATGTATTTGCATTCGGCATGATGTTTCGGGGGTGTCTGTTGGACGGATCTCATAAAGCCCTAAAACTTTGCGTGCAGAATCATCCAGCTTATCATGGTTGATCTTCAGCGAAGCCAAGGCAGTAAAAAATGGCAGTTCTATATCTGAGGCAAATGGTGCGTATTGCATGATTCACTCTGTCGGGTGTGGAGCAAGGGATCACAGAAACAGTTAATGATGGCCACGGGTCTCTAGCATACAAGTCCTTAAGAGGGATTCTTTTGGGCCCCCTTTGCCGGATGTTCACGATGGGTTGGATTATTCTGGATAGGGTTTGTTTGGATGACTCGAGTCACGTAGGCATTACTGAGCTGGAGTTGCAAGTCTAGATCAAAGTAGTTGTCGTATACTTGTCGCTAATGGTAGTACGGAGTAGAGTATATAGGTAGGTACAGAGAGGTATGTAAGTTAAGCGGGGTAAAATTGGGGTCAGAACTGAAGGCATGATAAGGTGACGTTTTGATCCTAGTCATGGTAAAAATACCACCAAACGTAGCTTACTTGCGGCTGGAGCTGGTATTGAATACAAGCCGCTGGTGGTACATTGTTATTTTTGGTACGGTATAGGGACAACTAGCGCCTTGTGACTACCCTCAGATCATGTAACTTATACCAGGTACATGACCTATCTACCTGACCTTACCACTAGCAGGTGGTAACGTATGTAACCAATGATAATACTGCTAAGCCTGGAGCAAGTCATGACAATGATGACACTGGTACCTGCTGACCCTTCCTTACACACTTGAACTAGTTGAATATGGTTGGTTTTGTTAAGGGACTGCAGATCATGATGGTTTTCCAGGAAGTCTATTCCCCGCTTTATAGCTTCCTGCCATGAAACCCAGACACCCACTCACCACCTGTAAACTAACCTAACTATAACCTATATTTGTGGTAATCATGTGCCTTGATAGTTTCTTATTCTTTTTTTTTGGATCTTATCACCCTGAGAGTACGAATGCCTGTTCTTGAATTGATCTCAAGATAAGCAATATTAACCACGCTTTATTTGAGTTATATATATTTTTTAGAAGAGCCACACATAACCAAGAAGACAATTGATCGTGGCAAGAATTCTTGGTAGATACAAAAAAGGATCCTTCGACTTGAAACAGCGATTCTTCATACACTACCAGTGATTTCATTGATCACAAGGTGATATCAGACCGAGAGGTTCTTCAGATGAGAGGGGTCTCCGATTCTCTGATTCTCGGGCTGTGATTCCCTGAGGCTAACTCGGCCGCCCCGCAAGCCGCCGGGCAGTCACTTTTCTCTCTTCAACAGTCTAGACTTGTTCTTTGTTCCCTGCATTCACGGTGATAGGTGTCTTACACAATAGGCTGGAATATTCAACCCTAGGCTCGGTTCTCCTTTGATCTAGGCAACTTTCTATATGCTACAGTTCCTTGGCTCAAAGAAATAATGTTAATTGGGTTATGCGGAGGTGGGATTCATCTCTTTAAGCGACAGCCCAAAGCTACCTACTATCTCGACTAACCCTGTGCTGTTCGCCTAGGTATATGCTCCGGAAAACATGCCATTGCAGAATATCTTATCCAACATCAAGGGTTTCGACTAATCAAACTGAGAACTACAAGTTCTCCCCGGATAACCGATGAGCCCGAAGATGACCTTCGGCTCCGAGCTTCTACACTTGGAATAAATGACGACTCGTCACAACTGGTATTTGATAGTGTCGATAGCCTCATCAGCTTTGCAACCGAAAGATGGCAAGAAAACTTGGTCACAACGGACATATGGGATGGCGCCACGCTAGACCGTTTTCTTCTACGTCCTTTTTTTCTTCTTGTCAGTGTTGATGCCCCAGTCAGTCTCCGATGGAAGCGATTTGCAGAAAGGTCAGCATTCAGGAGCCTCTTATATCCTTGGGATACGTATCTTCCAACTGGTTATAGATAATTAACGCATTCTTACAGATGTCAAAAGAGACGGCTTGATCCCCCGCCTCTTGAAAAGTTCGTTCTTTGGAACGACCAACATCTATATGAGAAGGACGTTGGGAGTGCCTACTTAACAGACCGGGCACAGGTCCGATTGTTCAATTCCTCATCTTCACTGGAAGCATTACATGAGGCAATCAGGGCACTCGATTTGGGCGACGAGGAACGTGTTCGCCCAAACTGGGATCAATATTTCATGCAGCTAGCTTCCCTTGCTGCACAGCGGAGTAATTGCATGAAACGCAGGGTGGGATGTGTCCTTGTCCGAGAACGCCGCGTCATTAGTACCGGATACAATGGTACTCCACGCAATCTCAAAAATTGCAACGAAGGCGGATGTAAGATTCAATTCCAAGCACCAAGAGCCCTTGCGGGGCCTGCTGTCTTTCCGCAGAACATAAGCTTACCAATAGGAAGGCCCAAGGTGCAATCGGGGCGAAGGTGGGGGTGTTGGCCTATCAACCTGCCTTTGTCTTCATGCCGAAGAAAATGCATTGCTGGAGGCTGGAAGAGAGCGCATACGAGAAGGTGCAACTCTCTACTGTGATACGTAAGATCTCATACCCTGGGCCAAGAACCAGTCAACTTTCTCCCCTGTCTTGCACTCTGAGAAGCTAACCCGTTATCTCAAGATGTCCTTGTCTAACATGCACCGTCAAAATTGCGCAAGTTGGCATTAGTGAAGTGGTTTACTCACAAGGCTACAATATGGACCAGGATGTGTGTTCCTTTACAGTCTCCTACACGTTGAATTGAACTAACCAAAATCTAGAGTGCTGCAATCTTGGAAGCTGCCGGTGTACGCCTGAGGCAATTTTCTCCTGTGAGCTATCAAGCCGTTTACCTTGAATTTTGAATCCAAGCACTAACCAAAGACAGCCTCGGAATGGATTGATTCATCTTGGGAGCTAATCTTGGTCCTTGAACAGCGTACTTGAACATTGCCCTGCATATACATCTGTCGGCATTGCTATGGCGATCGTAAGCTTGAAAGCCAGGTCTCTATTTCCCTGAATGTCATGTATTCACATACCAGACAATATATTCTCCGTTAGCTGCTCTCTATTAGCATCAGGATATTTAAAGTTCAGACTTTCTGAATGCTACTTGAGAGGAGTTAATATGGTAAAGCTTCTAATGTACCTGAGTAATAACTACCTTGAATGGAAGACCAGCCCTCGAATAATACTCCTATGCACTTTCAAGCCAGGGTAGGTACGTCATCTTGTGCAATTGCAGCAAAATCATCTGTAAAAACAGCTTAGGAGAGTAATATTACCACAGTGTATCAGATTGAATTACACTGTAGCCGGGATATTCCATACGTAATGCTACACTGGTAAGAAACTGAAATACGGGATAGAAACGAACCCTTAGTCAAAAGTTGACTCATAATCAATAGTGGGGTAACAAATGATTTACCATCAAATATTATTTCCCCGATACCTACTCGCCCACCTTGGAATGAATGGATACAAAGTTTGCTACCAATAGCTCTTTGTCAAGTTACTCTTATTGAGTAATTACCATCACTATGCCCACCGTTCATTTGCTTGACTATGTCGCCGGCAACGTTCGGTCCTTGGTCAATGCCATTAATCAAGTCGGGTACGAGGTCGAATGGGTTAGATCACCTCAAGATCTAAAAAATGCAGAGGTGAGAATTTGCACTTTGTTGGGCATTGTTACAACTCACGCGACTCACTTGGGCTCACTTTTGCTTGACATTTAGAAATTAATTTTGCCGGGAGTAGGTCATTTTGGCCACTGCCTGTCTCAGCTATCGGAGGGGGGTTACCTGGATCCAGTGAGGGAGCATATAAAGTCAGGGAAACCTTTCATGGGAATCTGCGTCGGGTTGCAGGCACTTTTCGAGGGATCCGAGGAAAACCCCGCTGTTCCGGGGCTGGGGATGATTCCAATGCGCATGAAAAGGTTCAGTGCCGACACAAAAAGTGTGCCTCACATAGGCTGGAACTCTGCCATCAAAACCAATGTTGAACCTTCGCAGGGTGAAAGCTTCAACGGGTTGAGTGCCAACAGCAAGTATTACTATGTTCATTCTTATGCGGCCATTTACGAACCCGGTGTCCTCGAGCGAGACGGCTGGTCGGTAGCTACGGCAACCTATGGCGAAGAAGAATTCATCGGTGCCATTGCGCGAGGGAATGTTTTCGCGACACAATTTCACCCGGAAAAAAGTGGCCAGGCTGGATTGCGCACCATCCGTGCTTTCCTCGACGGTGGTGGGCTTTTGAAATCCACGGAAGCACCGGCGCCGAAGAGAGAGAACGATGGGTTGACCCGCAGAATCATCGCTTGTCTGGATGTTCGCACCAATGATGACGGTGACTTGGTGGTCACCAAAGGTGACCAATACGATGTCCGCGAAAAGAGTGGCGCGGAGGCTGGAGGCAATGTAAGGAACTTGGGCAAGCCCGTCGAAATGGCCCAAAAGTATTACAACCAAGGAGCGGATGAAGTCACTTTCCTGAACATCACTTCGTTCCGGAATTGTCCGCTGGCCGACACTCCCATGCTTGAAATTTTGAGACGAGCTTCAGAAACTGTTTTTGTGCCCCTGACCATTGGCGGTGGCATCAAGGATACCGTGGATACAGATGGCACCCACATACCGGCCCTTGATGTAGCCACCATGTACTTCAAGTCGGGGGCTGACAAAGTTAGCGTTGGGTCAGATTCTGTCATTGCAGCCGAGGAGTTCTATGAGGCCGGTGAAGTCTTGTCTGGAACCACAGCCATAGAGACGATATCAAAGGCCTATGGAAACCAAGCTGTCGTTGTGAGCGTCGACCCAAAACGCGTCTATGTCGATTCACCCGAGGACACCCACCACCACACTATTCAAACGCAGTATCCAAACGAGGCCGGCCAGAAGTTCTGCTGGTATCAGTGCACCATTAAGGGTGGTCGAGAGACCAGGGATATCGATGTCTGGCAATTGACCAGGGCCGTCGAAAAGATGGGCGCCGGAGAAATCCTCCTGAATTGTATTGACAAAGACGGGAGCAACAGTGGGTTTGATCTTGAATTGATCAACGATGTTAAGGCTGCCATCAAAATCCCAGTCATTGCCTCGAGCGGGGCAGGTAAGCCTGAGCATTTCGCAGAGGTGTTTGCATCCACAACGACCGATGCGGCTTTGGGTGCCGGCATGGTGAGTATTCTCAAATGGACTCCCCTCTGTTGGCCATCGAAATGTACTAATAGGATGTAGTTCCACCGCGGCGAATACACTGTTGCCCAAGTGAAAGATTACTTGGGTGAAAATGGGTTTTTGGTTCGGAGACCTGACACTGGTGTATAGAGTTCCCGGACACGAAACACCCCTACTAAACTACTATCATTCTTTCGCTTATAGAACGACGTTCTTGTTTTGCAACTGGTGCCGGAATTTTATGACGGCCTTTTTATTAGACACCTATATCGCCGTTGCATTCTTGTCAAATGGAAGACACGGCCACCACCCCAGGGGGGAATAAGGTGTTGTTCCAATCATCAAGCCCGGCGGATGGGCTACGTGGTATAGATATATTAGACCGGATGAGACAAAAATAATAGAAATGTTCATGTAAATCAAGAGAACAATCTAGTCTCTGACTGTGATTGACTGGCCATGTATATACAGCCTCTCTTTTCCAAGACCAATATATCACAGGGCCACAGGACAAAGAGACTTCCTTACAGGATGTTTTTATATTCGTTTGTATGGCAGTGTAGTAGCCATAAAAATTTCGACAAAGCGTGGCTCTCTGATAACAAAACCACCCCTTTTGTTTCAAATGCCGGGCCATTCTCGCATTACACCATAGGAGATAGTGTATCTACTTTACTCCGTAGGATAAATACTTCCAGTCCAAAGCCCTGCTATATTATAATACAAGCAGAGTCATTGTTCTTTTATAGTTAATCGAAAGTTGTGTATAAGCAATGTATTATATTTTATATCAAGACAGTAACAAGTGCGTGTGTAGAATGCCGTATATTCCTTGTCTCTTGTTAGCGATCAAGTTATCTTCAATAAGATGGTTGCGCACCTACAAAAACTGACCCGTATAGCTGATGCATAGCCTGTTTACACAATATGAAGTGCTCTACAGAGGACTCCGTACAATGTGCTCAAATTGACATAACCGTTTTGTATTGTCAGGTATTGAGTAAACGCAGTACGGAGCGGACACATTTGTGGTACCGAGCGCTATCAGCTAGCGTGTTAGCAGCCCGGGCCGAAATCTGAGCATCCACGTGACAAGGGAGAATTGCCACCATCCGCTATTGACGACCTGCCTGGTCAAGAACTTCACAGCGAGACGCCTTTGAATAAGTCAACCCAGTGCTTGGAGTTGACGATTGCTTATTTACTCCGCCATCAAACAGACCTGATCATTAGACGACTACTTCCTGGTCATACTTTGCATAGTTTCATATGTGCAAGCAGTATCCTTGATCCTTTCCCCTTTCATGCCTCCCCTGTCACGTCTTTGAAGGTCCCCCTCCTTTGACCAAATATCAAGCATACTGTTTCTCCTCAGCCTCAATCACTGCAAGAGTCTTGACCAACCTTATACCTACCACTTCAGGCTACAAGAACACGACAGGGTCTTGGAATCTTCATTTTAATTAGTGGACAGACAAGGGCCTTGAAGCTTTCGTCAAATCACCTTCCATTCATTCATTGCAGCACATAAACCTGACCTGTTTTTTATACCCATTCTTCTTTTTGTTTATGCGTAGGGATTCCCAGAGGTCCCTTCCGGCATTCAGCAAAGTCGTTTGTTTGATTTTATGAGGTTGAGCAGTATTGTCAAGACATTGGCTTTTGTGTCTGAGATATTATAAGAGAAAAGGAATCTCAAGCTATAATATCATCGACCTTTTACTACTCTCCTATCTTTACTTCCTGTCTCCGAATTTTCCTATCGTCACTGTATCCTTCGTTGTGAAAGTGGTCTTCCCTCCTTTAATCTTGATCTAATTACATTCGCAATCACTTTCATTGGACGTGCAATTGAATACAATGTCATCCTCTGTTCACTTCAAGTTCAAGTCTCAAAAGGAACCCTCCCGGGTGACATTTGATGGCACCGGTATCTCTGTCTTCGAACTGAAACGAGAAATCATCAATCAGAGTAGACTGGGTGACGGAACCGACTTTGAGCTGTCGATATACAACGAAGATACTGGAGAAGGTGAGTTTCCTCTTGCATGCGCACTTAATCATCACTACCCGCGACCCAGGTATCTCGTTGTCAGCGCGGAGAGAGAGTCGAAGACGTGGTAGCGCTAACGGAATCTTTTACCCTCCTAGAATACGACGATGATACTACTATCATACCTCGGTCTACATCGGTTATAGCTCGCAGGCTGCCAGCGTCGCGTCCTGGGAAGGGCGGTGCAGCTCGTTATGTGTCTGGTAAAATGCCTGTCAACGCGCGTCCTACCGGCCGCAGCGACTTTCCCTCGAATCGAACAATGCCCAACTCCAGCGGCACGGTTAGCAGCGGCGTTATCGAACTGAATAATGCCCAGACCGAAGAAGAAAAGATCAATGCTCTTTTCAATCTGCAGGCCAACCAATGGAAAGAACAACAGCAAGAGATGGCGAAGTAAGTGTCCTTTAGATACTGCCAAAGATTATTATTAACGAATGCTTGTAGTGCCACACCCGTCCCTTTCGGCCGTGGGAGGGGAAAGCCTGTAAATGTTCCTGATCACCCACCTCCACCGGGGTATCTCTGTTATCGCTGCCGTGAAAAAGGTAAACTATTCTTTCTTTCGCACATTGCTCATCAGTTGCTGACTAACAATCGAAATCAAGGCCATTGGATCCAGGCGTGTCCAACAAATAATGATCCAAAGTTCGATGGCAAGTACCGAGTGAAACGGTCGACAGGGATCCCTCGTTCTCTCCAAACGAAGGTTGAAAAGCCAGAGTCCATTTCAATGGATGGCTCAAACGAGGATTTGAGAAATACAGGCATTATGGTAAATGCCGATGGTGATTTCGTCATTGCTAAACCAGACAAGGCAGCTTGGGAATTGTATCAGGAAAAGGCAAAAGCAAGTGCTGCAGCTGCAGCAGAAGCGGCAGCTGCAGAATACAGTAAAGAATTGCAGTCGCGTGGTATAGAGTGTCCAATTGACAAGCGGATATTCCTGGAACCCACAAAGACGCCATGTTGCCAACGTACTTACTGCAATGATTGTATTACCAATGCATTGATTGAAAGTGATTTTGTCTGTCCCGGATGTTCAACTGAAGGTGTTCTGCTTGATAACCTTACAGTGGATGACGAATCCGCTGCGAAGATAAAGGCGTATGAAGCCGAAAAGGCGGATTCCAAGAAAGAGAAGGAAAAGCAGCAAGCAATGCAAGAGGAACAACCGGCAAATCGACAACCTGCTGCGGGTGAGACTTCGAATACACCGGAGGCTTCATCGACTCCAGCTTCTGCCGGTGAAAAGCCGACTACCGCATCCTCGGGGAAGAGGCCAATAGAGGAAGTCGAGCCGGCCAGCGGCGACAAGGAGGAATCAAGCGATGCCATGCCGCCGAAGAAATTAAAGGGTGAGGACCGCCCGTCATCTGTTCCTGTGCCAGATACACAAACTCAAGACCCGTCCTCGCAATTCACCCCACTTCCGTTTGGTCAACAAATGCCCTTTGGCGGTATGGGGTTCCAGGGTATGCCTCCAGTCCCATTCCCTGATGCTGGCTTTTCCGCGGAGGGAATGGGGTTCATGAATCCTATGTCGATGCCCCCCACGAATGGATTTCCAAGTAGCATGGGTCAGGCCTGGGGCCCCATGAACGCTATGAATTTCAATCCAGCTCAGAACGGAATGTACCCTGACCATGCAAATGGCCCTATCCCTAACAACTTCGGTGCACCGAATATGTACAATGGTTCAGGGGAACCACCGATGGGCATGTTCCCTATGCAAATGCCAGGTCTTCCCCAGCACAATGCGGGCTTTCCACAGGGCGCGGGGATGGGCCATTTCTCGAATCAACAGCGAACAACCTTCAGCACTCCCTTTGCCAGGGAGGAAGACACAGCATACTTCCGTCAGCCTGTTAATCCCCAGCGACATCAGTCAAGACATAGGCGGATAAGACCGAGCGATTATCGGGAACTTTGAGGGTGCTGTAAGATATTTTCGTGTTACGGCTATGGTTTTGTTTTATATTTTATGTCTCATTTCATGCTGCACAGCCTAGGAGTTTCTGGACATCTTCATACTTCATACATAAACACAAAAATAAGACTACCAATATCAATAAAAAGGTGATATATAAATAAATCAGACGAATGAAATGGAATTGAGTGGATTTTAGTTCAATGGAAATAGAAGAAATATTAATACTAATACATACCCCCATTCTGTAATTCAAGGCTGCCACTCACCCGTTCTTGGTCAATGTTAATGCGTAAAGAGCTTCTTCGCCAAGCACCTGACTCTCGTAAGTGCATTGGGTGTCGGTTGCTCCTTGGAACTACATGCCCACTCCCTTGAATATGACTATAGAATTGCAGCTGTTGTCAACTAACTAGGTAACTGACTGATTGGTTTTATGGGGATTGTGCCCTGACGCATACAGATCAAATCCGTCGTTCCTTTTACCTAAAGATTGCCAAGAGGATATCGTTATCTCTTGGCAACGTGAGTCAATCATGACTAATTCCAGACTTGTGGCGGTTCGGGAATCTGGGGGAGCTCACCGCACCCCCTCTCAGTCCAGTTAAGTATCAGCTTCACATCCTCATAAGCCTATAACTACACCATAACTCCTTCGATAACTTACCATCCGTTCGATACTCCATCGCTTCTTACCATTGTGGTGTTTATATTTCATCAACATCTTTGAAAACAGATCCCATCATTCCCGTTGGACAATCATCATCATGGCGAAGTTTATGAATAACAGCAGTAGTAGTGGCAATCAGTTACAACGATTGTTCGATAAGAACCCCCAGACTTCTTTCCTTGCAAGCTGCTATAGCGTCAATGCCCGCACTTCGGGTGTTACTGGGTTCCACTATTGCGCTACGTCGGGGTCTGGTAAGACTCCATATCTATACCCGCATTTACTTGCTGGAGCGATACTAATACAACAACCATGACCTACAGGGGAACAGTGGTATCCCTGAGGTCCCTTCGGGGCCAAAACCATTCGCGTTAAGTCCTCCCTTTGAGCTGTGTAATGCTCCAGACATGAGGAGCAGCCGGTGGGCCGACAGTCCATCGGAACTCAAAGAGGAGGCGGCGTATACTATCCCGGGAGAGTGTGAGAGGCTCTTCTGTGACAATATGGCTGCAATTTTTCTTGGTGAGGGGAATTTTGTCCGGCCCGAGTCACTTGGGATGGATGCGCTTGATATCCGACCAGACGAAGCAAAGAAGGAGCGCACGTGTATTCAAAGATGGGTCGAAGTCCTGGATTACACAAGCGACGCTGTCTATCGTGGGTTTGTGGGGAGTGTTGGTGAAGAACAAACGCTGTTTGTCTTCTTTGAAGATAGTATTCCAGGATGCAATCTTAAGACTGGGTATGTATATCTTGATATTTTATCGTATTTGGGGTGTTACCGTTCCGGAACACCACCATGGACCACATATTGACATCTCTTCCTGTTTGGCAGACTGATGGCCCTGTTTGAACTTGCTAGCCTGTCTGATTTTGGGTGTACGCGAATTGTTGCATGCATTTCTCGAACCCCAGATTCTACAGAGCATGAAGTGATCAGAAACCTAGGCTGGTGTGGGTTTAGCTTGACTACTCTCCAGCCTTGGTGCAGTAAGAACCACAGTGAATCTGTGATTAGTGCGAAGTGGCTTTTCTTGAGTGCCGAAGTTTAATGGTGGAGTACTAATATGATCTACCCCCGCATGTCAGCAAATTAAGCGCGTTGCAACGGACCTGTATGAATAATATGACACCTTAATATATTGATTCACTATCTCTGGAAGACAATGACCGGGGTAGAACCTTTTTTTATAGTTTAGTCAAATGTGCGGAGTACGGAGTAATATGAACAATGACTACCAGATGACTCCTTTCTAACTGCTTCCCTGTACTGGTATTGTATATCTTGAACGCGTCTCCAAATCCCATTGAACACCTTGTCAATTGGATAGATCAAGAGAGGAGGCCTGATGAAGAAAAGGGAATTTGGGTTTAGGTGGCTGATTGACCGAGCAATGCCAAGAGGACGTGGGTATACCTTAGTGGAGGTAGGTACCCAGGTACTTACTGAGGCAGGCAACTACCTTACCGACCTATGACCTCAACACAACCTCCATCCGTCGAGCTGGCAACCTCCCGATGCTCATTACCACCAAGCCCGACTAGACAATTATCTTTACGTTTAGACTTCAAGCCCACGGCTAGGTAATTGTCTAAACCATTTAATACAGAAATACCAAATTAAAATATATTCGCATGTTTCCCAAGTTCCTCCTCCCAACGGCCGTCTTCCGCCCTAGACCGTCAAATGCGGGGGGGCGGCCATCCGTCTCTTCTAGTACCACGAGCGTCTCGCTAGATGAGGAGGACCCAACAGACAGATATCTGAGTGGCCATGTATCTTGCATTCGCTGCTCTCGTTGTGCTGCAGATCTTTGCTTGACGTCCCAAATAATCAGCAAAGGCTTCACCGGTCGCCATGGCAGGGCGTACCTTGTTTCAGCAGAACCCGTTGCCTCGGCCGTCTCTATCCATGTGTCCTCCTCACCGACGGAGTCGCTTCCAAACACGTTCATTCAAAAACCCGTTCCTCGTCAGTTAGTCACCGGAGCACACACGGTCAGCGATATCACCTGCGCTTTCTGCGGCAGTGTCCTCGGTTGGAAATACGTTGCTGCCGAGGAGAAGTCCCAACGGTACAAAGTTGGAAAGTTTATATTGGAGACGAGAAGGATCACAACGTCTTCCTCCTGGGAATCGTCATCTTACACCGACTCGTCCGCAATTCCCCCAACCCCGGGCCGCCAGGAGAGAAAGCTGGAGACACCAGATGAGGGCGTCGAGTTTGACAGCCAGGACGAGGATGAATGCGAGGACCTGTTTGCGGGGATATGGAACCCTGGTTTGGCAATACGCCGGAGGAGTCGGAAGCTGGACTGCCAACCCTCAATGTTTGGATTACCCTCTTGAGAATGCTAGTATGATGCAGGCTGATGTCAACATGGAGATAATCTTTGAATAGACGAGTTTTGTTTGGTTATTTGGAGGATTCTGGTACAGCTTGTCATCTCAGGTTTGATGGCCCTACGCTTGCCTACATGGCAGTAGTAATAGTGATGCCAATAAGTCAAATATATATACCCCATGGATTTGTCCTTTCAATAAATCATTAGCGCTAGAGCCGCTGTATTTTTTATACATTATGCCGGTAATCTTCATTGGTTTGAGATTGAGTAGATTCCCACGAGAAGGACAAGAATGGAATAGAACCCGGCGGATACATAAGTCGTCGATTGAATATTTGATTCACTATTTACTATCAGCCCGTGCTTTTTTTGTCGCCCCCTCAGATCCTTCTTCAGGGACGGAGCGTTTCTGGGAAGATCCGGTTTGTTGAGCTCCCTGGCCAGCGGCAGGTTTCCGCTTGACAAACGCAGATAGATCGTTGGCACCCTTGGTGGCTGCATCCAGCTTGACCTTTTGCTCGGAGGGAGATTGTCCCATGATCTGACCAAGAAGTCCTTTGAGCATCGCCTCTTCCTGATCATCCGATTCCTTGATTGACACCGGGGGGCGTCGAAGGTCGACAAGCTGCAGAAGTGTGAGTGTTTTTGAAGGCCCTGCCTAAAGCTGGAGTCTGAAAATTACTTACCCTTTGTTCCATGTCGGCGGTGATTTCTTTGACGTTGTCTATTTTCCTCTTCATGGCAATGACCTTGTCTTCATCCATAGTTTCATTGCTGCTCAAGGCGCGCTGTTCCTGATCTATCCTGATCTTACAGCTCTCAATTGCCCTCTCCATTTGAGTGGCCGCCTCCTTCCGCATCTCATGATCAACCTTGCTGTGGTCATCACCCTCTCCTTCTGACCCATCGCCTTTATTCATGGACGCAAATTCCAAAGCGAGCGAAAGTTTGTAGTGGCACTCAGCAACGCATGGATCCTCCATAGGAAACAACGACTCTCGTAAGCTAAGGGTAGTCCTTAAATCTTGCACCGCGTCTTGGAATCTCTCCGCTTCGAGTGATATTTCAGCCTGTAAGTCGTAAGTGTCGGCGAGGCGTTCCTTGATGTGCCGTACATCTGGTGAAATGTCCGACGTCTTTCCTTTTCCAGGCTGCTCTTCTTGAGCATCTAACTTTTTCTGAAAGAGTATACGGGCCACATCGAGGACTTCAAAGGCGTTGGCGAAATCGTCTTCTTCCTCTTCCTCCTCGGCGCCAGCACCTTCTTCTCCTTCCTCGTCGACATCAGAATCCGAATCATCATCAAAGTTCTCGTCGCCGGTGAACTGAAAAAATGGTTTGTTGTCAGGGTTCCCTAGCTGCGTATCCGTCTGACCGGGGGCTGGCTTCGCGGGCTGGGCACTTGCTGTGGCGGTGTTGGCAGCCTTTTTGCTCCGCGATGCTGAATTGGACGAGGATCCATGGTCTGTAGACGCAGCTGTTGATTGTGGCTGGGAATCTCCGGCAACTTTGGACCCAAGGACGTCGCTATTGCTCACAGCCACGTTGTAAAGGGCCTTCCCATAAGAGTACAGCAGATCAGCGTTGTCGAGCGACAGCTCGCCATTGAGCTTGGCTTGGAGCTCGGTAGCTTCAGAGTAAAGCTCGGCAGCTCCATTGAAGTCCTTGATAGCGTCCTTGGCTCTAGCTCGCTCGACTAACTTTGCCAGTTGTTTCGACTCATCTGCGACTGGGGTTTTTGAGATATCAACGTTTGCGGCGTCCGCTATATTCTCGGCCATGGTTGTAGTTTCGGGCGATCAAACGAAAATGGGTTCTTGGCTTGGTGTCTGACAGATTTCGGAGAATAACCAAAATTCGAGGCAGAGGATAACCATAAAAGTTGCGACGAGGGGAAGATGTAAAACAATGAGGAGAGCTTCTATGAAGAATGACAAAAGCTTAGTTGTAAGTTCGGACGGACAATGCGAAGGACCAGGCGAGTTTGGACTGTTTGAACCCGGTTCCTACATGGCGACCCACTAGTCTGGCCCAATACTCACGCGTCCTCACGCGTTGCCACGCGCCTTATCACTCAACTCATTATAGAATTCATTACTCCGAGCCCATCTATGTATATACTTCACTAATGGCAACTGACACCCTACTTCTGGTAAGAGAGAATCATCGGGCACCCTCATTTCACTGGGGCTCATCTTGCGGCTTCTTTTCCCAGTTTAATTCACAGTGAAATGAGTGACAGTATATGCTGATTGGTTTGAACAGCGACCTATGCAATGATGGGTTTGGATACAGTGCCTTCATCATCGCCTGGGTTTGGCACCCCAGCGCATCCACTTCGAAATAATAAGCCCAATATACTTTCAACGAAGACGTCCATCCTTCCGATTCTTCTCCCTCCTTCCACTTTGAGGCCTGTGGCCTTCCGAACGATTACTCGGAAGCACAATCTGACGATATCATCATCTGCGCTCCAAACTTTGGCAAACTTTGTAGGAAAGAATTGTGGGTCAGGATGGCGCGAAGAAGGCCTCGCAGAACGAGTCTTGGACGAGGTGGCTAAGAGCTGGAAGAAAGCTGGAGGCGGCGTCATTATTGAAGAAGGTAAAGGCGCGTCCCTGAAAGCCATTCTACAGGCATTGCAGTCGAATATGAGTGGTGGGAGAGTTCTCCCTGGGAAAATAGCAGCTTCTACCGATGAAGGAATCGAAAGCCCTGCTGGTTACGCTCGGGATAATCGCCACTTCGAATTGCAAACGCCGACATCAGCCGATGACGATATCGATGACCATGAACTTCCGTTGTGCGCAAGACACTGGCTCAATATCATACATGCATACGACATGCCACGCCTGACTTACAACATCGACAAAAAGTACTTCGAATCCACCACATTCAAGCCAACTTTATTCCCTCCTCCTAGTCATAGGACGGCTCTGTTCCGCGATCGCTATAATGTTGTGTACCAGCGGTTACTACGAAACGAATCCTTCCAGTCGTCTCCAGGGATATCCACTGGATCGTCTCTCCAGCAACGGTCATCTTTCGCTCCAAATCAGTGTTACAAACTCACTCCGATTGCAAATCTTCTTGGAAGAAGCGGTACATCACACCTTCTGCTTGGACTGCTTTCCACCTCCCCTACAGGCGACCTCTCCCTAGCCGATCTCACAGGGAGCATTGCCTTGGATCTGAGCCATGCGCGGACGATACCTGAAGACGGGGCTTGGTTCGCACCAGGCATGATTGTTCTCGTCGACGGAATCTACGAAGAAGAGGAGAATGTTCGAGGATCAACACTCGGTGGAAATAGTGGAATTGGTGGGTCTATAGGGGGTAGGTTTGTTGGTGTCTCTATCTGTGGGCCCCCGTGCGAACGACGGGACACTTCACTGGGGACGAATAATCGACAGAACAGTAAAGAGATCAGCTCTAGCGGGGGCCTTGGATGGATTGATTTCCTGGGAGTCGGCAGTGAACGCGCTCGTGGTCCACGAATGAGGCAGATCCAGACTAGGTGTCTACAAAAGCGACAAGACGACAGCCAAGAGACACCATCTCCAGTGAAGATGGCGATAATGAGCGAGGTGAATTTGGACAACATGAAAACACTGGATGCTCTGCGGAAGATATTCAGCATCTACAACGATCAGCCACCGTGTGGTCGCCCGGTGCTCTTTGTCCTGATCGGCAACTTCGCTCAGACAGCCATAATCAATGGCGGCGGTCAGGCTGGGAGTATCGAATACAAGGAGTATTTTGATTCACTTGCCGTGGTAATGTCCGAATTCCCAACATTGCTGCAGTGCTCTACATTCGTCTTTGTCCCCGGTGATAATGACCCCTGGTCATCGGCCTTCTCAGCTGGCTCTACATCTACAATCCCGCGCCCGGCGATTCCTGATCTATTTACGTCGCGGATCAAACGTGCATTTGCCACAGCCAATGCCGAGTTAGATCGATCTCAACGGTCGGAGCCTCCCGGCGAAGCGTTATGGACATCCAACCCATCTCGCATCTCATTGTTTGGGCCGGTCCATGAGATCGCCGTATTTCGTGATGATATCTCAGGAAGGCTCAGACGTACCGCTGTGAGCACGCAGCAACGCGCTGATAACTCCAATACAGCCATGGACGAAGACCAGAACGAATCCACCAACGGGGCCGACGCCGACTTTCCCGGAGTAAACTCGGGTGCTAACCCGAATTCCACCTCGTCTAGAGTCTCGATGAGCAGGAAACTTGTCAAAACGATACTGGACCAAGGATCAATGGCGCCCTTTCCGCTTTCTTTGCGGCCTGTCTTGTGGAATTATGCGTCCTCGCTACAGCTGTATCCATTGCCGACTGCCCTCGTCTTAGCGGACGCGGAGGCAGCTCCTTTCTGCATGAGCTACGAAGGTTGTCACGTTATGAATCCTGGAAAACTAGTTCCTGACGGTAGCGTGTCTGCTGTCCGCTGGATAGAGTATGATGCCGTGAAAAACCGAGGAAGGGTGAAAGAAGAGCGTTATTAAAGAACATATAGAGCCAACGGGATTACGATAATGATGATGATGATTGTTTTCATAGATATACATAGATATCTTTTTCGAAACCTTAGCTTATCTTGGCTCCGTTCAAGGTACTCTAGCGTTTAATTACAGGAGGTTCCTTGGTGGTAACATACCAACTTTGGACTGAGTTTTGACATGACACCTAAATGGTTTTGATATGAACGAGGTTTTCTACGCTAGATGTCTCCTCAGATGTATGCCTCAAGTACCGTAAGGGGGGTGTGTAGTCCCATAAACTTCATTTCTTAGTAATCGACATTATATAAAAGACATCACACAGTAGCCCATGGGGCAGCTGTTCTTGAAGTGACATATTCACATGAGTAAAGGGATTGGGAGCTAACAAATATAGCTTGCGAGTCTCAAGCACTGGTTGCTGTTAACGGGGGCAGCTAGACTCAGTTGAGCAAGGCAGAAGGTATCCAATCACGAGGGCCATGATAAAAATCGTAGTTATCATGCAACTGCCAGTACAAGATTAAATACATCGGCTTTATAGTGAAACTGATGGGGAAAAAATCAACACCTCACCACCCAAAAAAGAAACAGCCGCTAATATATGCAATAGAAAGCTTCTTTGGATCAATCACCACCGGGTTGCGGAAAAAATCAAGACCCCATAGAGAAAATCAGTCAATCATGATAAAATCAGCGTTTTGTGCTGCGCCGCCAGCTTTGACGTTGGGCCCTGTGGGGGTAATGGCATTACCGCCAGGACGAGCCGGACTTATGAGGCTGTTGTTTCCATTAGGTTGCGCTACTGCCAGTGGCAGACCTGGGTCCTTTGGATTTTTGAGTTCTCCCTCCAGGCCCGAAGACGTGATGGTACTCATATCATGCGGGTTACCGTGGAAGATCTTGTCAAGTTGCGCGATGAGGTTTCCGACTTTATCGAAATCTGCGACAGCCCCGTTCCCAAGCCCTTTCCAGCCTTCTCCTTTGGAATCGTATAGCTCCGACTTTAATCTGGTTCTCAGCTGTTCTTGATGATCTCCGCCTTGAGGCCCGCTTGCGTCCTTGAGTATCCACGCCATGCGGCCGAGATATTGGCCTGCCAGCAGTTGGAAGCGGTATTGGTGGCCAGGGTAGTGGATGCGGAAGTTTCTCGCATTGCGCACAATCACTTGTACTTTCATGATATCTTTGCGAGACGGGTTTGCTGTGATTTGGTCCAAAGCCAACATCAAAGGGAGAGTGAGCGACAGCAAATCCGAGACGCTGTCCAGGCCTGCATCGGCAGTAGATGCTCGGTTCAGCATGTCGGCAAGAGATGCTTGGATACGACGGTGGGAATTTGGGAAAGGTAGCTGAATGTTGAGACGAAGCTGAGACGGAGCTTCTGCTTGGACCCTCGATATTCCCATCTCGATGTTCGCAGCGAGATTCTTCCCAGGGCCATAAGCAAATGAGATACCGGAGAGCGACAACTTTCGAAGTTCCATTTTCTTCGCCTGGAGGGTGTCGGCCATTGACAAAACGCATTCGAGCCTTTGTAGACTTTCGAAAAGCTCCAGTATGACGGGACTGCCCACAGGAGCAAGCAAACGGATTGCAAATCCACTGCCTTTCTTTTGAAAGGTCACCGAGTGATCCCACTTCGAAGGAAGTGTGCCAGACACCTTGACCGGATTTGATAAGGTCCCATAAGCAACCATGATGGCGACCTTCTTCCGAGGATCGATCCCGTGGAAGGCAATGCGGACAGTATCTTTAATAAGATCCCTCTTCTTGAACCAAGAAGGCAGTGATACCTGCAAGCCATGTGGAACATTGGACGTATCGTACTTCACAAAGATGTCTGGCACTTTCAGGTCCGATCCGATTCTCAGCCTGTGTAGATGGGGATGAAAATTGATGCCCTGAAATCCCGCCAGACAAACCGCGTTAGCATATACTGCCAGAATCCCAGATAGGCAATGTCCCAGATCTGCAAGCGATGCATAGCTATTCCCATAATCCACAGGGAGTAGTGTACTGCTGACTGGCTGGGCTGAATGCAGGGTCGATGGACTGTAGATGTCTGTGTTCAGAACTGAGTGATGTCGAGGGGATGGTGCGGACTGAACATGCACGATCCACCAGCTGTCACCATCCACGCTACTCGTGGCCGCGATCATCCAATCCCGTTTCCAGAGATGGTGTGAAAAGAAAGAAAACTTCAGGACATTGGGTGGGAATATTTTCCGGAAATCGATCATCAGTCCCCTAGGACTGACTGGATGAAATCCAAACATCTTCACACTCGATTCGACTTGTTCAATTGCGGAAACGCAACGGAGCCGAGAAACGCGAGAAACGATATCGTCGACAGGCGTTCTGTCTGAGCTGCGATCGCCATCGGGACGCTCAGATGCATTTGGGGTCGTCGACAGTATGA